ATACTTTAGAGATTAAGTGATTGTTCGGATAATTTAAAAATTTGTTAAAAAAATAAAGTTAAAATCAACAATTAATTTTGTTTCAAATAACCCCTAATCTAAAGCCGTTCAATTGAACTTTTTGCCAAAATCAACACCAAAGAGGGCAACTCATCCAAGTTAAAAAAAATGGGTCTTCTTTGATTTCCATTTTTTCCAAAATATATGTCTCTCTTCTTTTGAACCACGCATTCTGTATTAAAATAATATTACACGTAAATCAATTTTTTTTCTTTTTTTTAACAATACACTCACCATCAATCTGCTATTTTAAAATACATTTTTAAAGAAGAATGGGGCTCAAATACGAGAAAAAAGTAAGGTTGACAAAAGGTCCAAAGAATATTTGGTGATACTGTAGTCTAGAAACATTCTTGTACTTGCTAAGAAATTCCATTCTCCATTTTTCTCCCCCACTTGCAACCTCTCTTCTAAGCTGAAATTTGACTCATTCTTATAGACAAAGAAAAACCAGTCATTTTCCATTTTCCCCTCTTTACCCGCTGTTATATATGATAATTTGTTACTAGAGAAAAGAATAATGTTATTTATTATTCATTATGTAACTGTTTAGATAATATTGAGTTTCTTCATTCAATGTTCAATGCATTACAATTTCGTCAGACAACGAACTAGAGATCCATTTGTCACCTATGAATAACATTACTTGAAGAGGAATGACATTGTCTCAATTAGAGAAACAAAATTTAGTTTTATGTGGTTAGACCTTTGAAAATCACATGACAATTTAAAAGAATTTTTAGACTGTTTCGGCATTAATTATACGTGAAAATTTAAATTCGTATTAGTTTTGCGAATCAATCAACTATAAAAATAAAATGCAGAATGAGGCTTCTATTTTCTGCAAATAGAAATTGAGAAGGGGGGTGGGTATGGTGCCTACGGTCAAAAGACAACCTCAAAGTTCAAAAGAATCGGCTGCTGAATAGTGAAAAAAATCCAGCATAAAAAAGTAGACTCAAAACTCACGTCAGGCGAAGACGAGAAAAGTCAGACACGACACAATGATGCAAGAGGGGAAAAATTCAGAATGTGAGAAAATTGTTTACTACGTTAGTTGCCGTACGATGAATATTGTCGAATCAATTACGTATTGAATGATGATACATGTACACTATATTCGTACAATATAATGTACACTCTCCTCACTCACATAGAGAGGACTCCACAAATATTTTATTCATGGTGGGCCCCTCACATGGTGTATAACCATCATTATTCTTATGAATTATAATATGTTTTTGTTTGACTTTTTTTTTTAATAAAAAAATTAATTATATAATAGTATTTTTTAGAGAACGTAATTATTATATTCTATGAATTGATTGCTGTACATAAGAATTTTGTGAGGATTTTTGAATTTATACGAATGTTTAGACAAGTTTTGATTTTTCTGTTTCGAATATCAACTTGCATTGGATGAAGTCGTGTAAGGTACAATTTTTATTGTACTTTATTAGCGTGGAAAGTTGACTTTAATAAATAAGTCATAAAGGTGAGGCAATCCAAGTTTTAAGTTAATGAATTTAATTGAAAAGTTAGAAGAGATGGCCCTTTTATACCGTGCTATTTTCAACAATGATAAAGGCACACGCAACACCTCTATTACGTTTAGCCAGTCCCCCACTCTTTTGCTTAAAAACCCTTTTTTTATTTTTCTTTTGGTGGGGGGCAAAAGGAGAAGATGACGACTCTGATAGAACGTCTATATCTGTGTGATAAGAGTCAATTAAAAAACTAACAAGAGGACTAAAAAATAGTGAAAGAAGCAAGTTCGTGAGTCACTTTATTCCCTTTACAAGATGTAATAGGAACCACAATACACCTCACTAGATAAGATAACAAAATCTGACAAATTTATTTGAAGCTAAATGCAAATCAATGGGTACGCTAAACAATCACTCTCAACTTCCAGCTACATTAATCCGACCTCCTTAGCGAATGCTAAACTTTCTCGTCCGCCTGGCGTAGTAGCCCACAACCCTTACCAAGCAGGCTGCGACCCACCTATGGTCCTGAAAAACCGCCACAAGACCAATCACACCGTCCTCTTCTCGCCCCAGGCATGGGCAGTCCGACCTACTTTGACACCGCTACGTATTACACAATCTTATTTTTTCACTCCAAGGGATAATACAGTTTAACAATGAACATATGACATATCAGTACCATATTGTATTTTTCCTCCTCTCCTCGCAGCATTAGATCAATGAATGGCAATCCAAAGACATACTGCTGCATTTCATTTCATTCTCTCATTTTCAGCCATCAATAACCTTTAGCCTCAAATCAGACTTGAAGCAATGACACTGATGATTGTTGAACGGTTCTACTTGCTAGTAAATTTTCTGGTTTTGAGTGCTTAGTGGCATCTGCATTATGTGAAGCCATTTTGCACCAAAATAAGAACACTATAGATAGCAAAACCAACAGAGCATCAACACAATTTCCTCAGACGCGCGACATTTTCCTCCACAAACTGTTTCGATCGTAAGGGCTGATCTGGAACTCATTTGTGCCTTCAATCGAGATGAATCAAGTTAAAGCTGAGTTCAAGTCTTCAAGATTGTGGTATTTGCAACTCCCAGCATAGTATACTAGTTCAGGAATCATTTTTGAAATGATTTGCATCCACTTCATTCATTACTTAAGTCCTTGCCCTATATGAGCAATATTTATTTTGTGCCCTGTGATCTTGAAAGAAAAAATTTCCACAAAATATCATACGAGGCGACACTACGTGGCATAGAATATACAGGAATCCACTGATGCAGAAGAATAATGTGATTGAGAGGCATCCAATACGTATGAATCAATGAAGGATTCCTCTGTGAAGGGGGGTTTTGATGGAACTGGCAATACTAAATCCTTTTGTGTCAACAGTTCAAGTACTCGGGTCATTGTGGGACGCATTGTACTACGGATTTCGTGTATTAAAATATAGAAATTGTTACAGATTTTATTTTTGAGAAATATAAATGGATATGAATCTTTTTGTAATTGCAAAATCCTTTGATTAATGATTTGAATATTTGAAGACGAGGAGCCACATGGCTTGAATCCTAGGTTTCGAGATTTGTTGAGAATTTGATTTGCCGAGAATTTGACTTGTTCGACACTT